GCTGTAATCACTTCTCGTTCTGAGGCCCGCGCGGTGTGGTGCCTGCTGGTGTAGCTGGACTCTGCCGACTGTTCTGTTTATTTACCGAAGCGTAACACTATAGAATAGACCCTTACAAGACAGCACAGCTTTGGTTTCATAGTTACATTTTTCAGTCTACTTACAGAAAAGTTGTTGAATTACAGTTCTTCATCTGCATACCCAACGTCACCTGTCAAAACCAACAAATGTAAATTTGCTTTATCATGTGCATCTATAAAAGAACTTGTGATTGACCTGGCCACGTTCCGCACTGGACTTAGGCCTGTAACATGTTCATTTTAACGACAGCAAGACAGTTGTGAGCTTTCAGTAATGCAGAAAAATTTTGAAATTCTTAAAACCTGGCCACATCCTCCCTGGTGTTGAATCACTGTTACGTAAGTCAGTACGTGGGCTACTCACGGTGTCTCTGGTAATTGTGAGCCACCCAGGATTCCAAGACTCCGGAGGGGCGAGTGGTGGAGGGAGGCAGCCCTGCCTGTGGTGCCCCCAGCCTCAGACGCAGGGATGGACCGAGCCTGAGAAGAGGCGCAAGTGGGGAGCCGGGAGCAGCCATGATTAGCACATTGAAGTGACCTTTACTCTGAAGTCCAGGTGACAGGCCGCTGCGCACCTGCTGACACGGTGCTCTATTTTACTTGTTAGCATTCAGCCCTTGTAGTTGCACCAGAGATTTTAATCCGTGTCCGATCTTTATGGAAGAACTGCTCGTGAATAGTTTGGACTTAGGCTCGGACCCCACCGTGTGTGAGAAACATTCTCTAAACCAGAGGACGGGATGTTCTGGCCACGTCAGGGGCCGTCGGAGGGACCGCGCCTCTGTGGCTCATGTACATTCCCGGGAGTCAGCCGGGCCGTGTCTGAGGGTCAGCACCTGTGCAGGTGGGCGCAGGGGAGGGTTCCGGGCTCCCTGCTCGCAGGCGGAGGTCATGGGCACAGTCTGAGCCCCCCAGCAGGTTGGTCAGTTGGAGTCTTGTTTATGGACCTGCCATGAGGAGGTTTTTAGTGTGAGTGGCACCGAGGCTCTGCCGCCAGGACGAAGCTCAGCTGAGGGGGTGGGGGGCGGGGCGGAGGTTTTCATCCCACGGGTGCCGACAGCTGTGGTGGGAGCCCAGCGGCCGAGAAGCAGGGTGGGCATGCACAGGGCGCTCCTGCCTGGGCTTTGCGGAGACTGCAGGCTGTCCCTGCACCCCAGTCCGTGCTAGCGGCTGTGCCCGCACACACACTGGTGGGAACACACGTGTCCCTGCGGCGGGGCCTTCCACCAGAGGATGGGAGTCACACGTCCCTGCTCAGCACTGGGCCCCGACAGCGAGGTCGGCAGTGCCTCCCGCGGGGAGCCTCTCCTCCCTTAGACAGTCGCGGGGCGAGGGCCCGTGCGTGCCAAGTGTCGTGCTGGAGGGCTTGGTGCACGCGTAGCTGGCGTCTAGCAACGCGCAGGGTCTGCTTCTCACCGCCTGCCTAAAAACCAGAACCTGCTCTTGTAAGTTATCTGAAAATCAGCTGTTCTTTATAGATGAGAGGAATGTGCTGCTGCGCTAAAGGCTCCAGGAGCCCGGCCGCCCCCGAGGGAGGCCTCTCCTTTCCCAGCCGGCCCCTCGGGGCTGCACTGCTCCACTGCCCTTCCCACCTGCCTCGCTGCCCGGCAGAGGTCCTTGCCGGAGGGGCTGGTGGTTGTTGAGTGACTGACAGTTGGAGCAGCCAGTGTGACAGGCAGGATGTCCAGGAGGCGGGGGCTGGGGGTGGCTGCACTGCATGGCCCGGCTCTCTGGCGACCACGGAGCTGCAGCAGCCTTGGTGGAGGCGGTGTCATAGGGACGCGGGGCGCCCAGGCCAGTCCCCACCTCGTCGGGTGCGTGTCCTGAAGGGCAGCGCCCAGTGCTGAGCCGGCATCTCTGGTGGGGGGACGGGCGGCAGCAGGTGCCCTGTCTGGGGGTGGCCGGCGCGGCCTGCAGTGGTGGGGTTGGGGTGAGGCGTACGCCAAGGACTCGCTGGTGCCACACGTCAGCCGCTGGATGTTTCATCCCCAGGGAAAGGAAGCGACAGGAGTGGGAATGGTGGAGTGGAGCGAGCCGGGAAGGTGTTTCTCTCTTTTCCGGGAGCTTCTAAGAAGCCCGTCGTAAAACTCTGTATTTGGTGCTTACCCGGCTATTACGAGAAACTTGATCTGGACAGTCTCCCGCATATCGACACGTACTTCTGAATTCTCACCAGCATGCACGGCAGGTCTCCCCGCCCCGGCCCACCCGGCCGGGGCCTTGAGAGCGTCCTGCGGCCTCAGCGGCGGAGGGGGGACTCCCTGCGCCTCTCAGCGCCTCTCCCTTCACATGGCCGCCGGAAGGCGCGTTTTCCAGACACGTTGCGTTTCTGCCCGGGTGTTTTTGCTCAGTTTTTGGCGCAGGCCTGCATGGTGCCTCGGCAGGACAGAGAAAGCAAAGCCTGACCTGTGCGCGGCCGGCGGTTTCTCTCTGCGCCCAAAGGGGTGTGGGGACACACCAACAGGGGCCACTCTTATTTTTGTCCTGGAGAACGTCCCCCCGGCTGGCGGCATCTCCGTGCTCGCCCCTGGCACCAACGCTGCCCAGCTGGACTCCCTGCCGGCCGCGCCATCTGTGCACCGCGAGGACCCGGCTCCCTGCGGCCCGCGTCAGCTGGGGGAGCCTCTGACTGGCTTCGCTCTTCCCTCCCTCCCTGGCTTGGAAGCAGCTCCCGGATTCCGAGCAGGTGGCGCCTCAGAGCAGGGGTCGGCGGTTTCTGGAGGCCACAGACCTGCGGTGGGGGGGGGGCCCTGCCAGCCTGGAGACCCGAGAGCTTCCTTCCCTGCTCGCCTCTCGCTTGTCGCCCGCTGAGGGCCCGGTTCTAACGCTCCGAAGTCAAGTTTCACCAGCCGGCTGGTGGGCGAGTGTGGCAGGCCCCGGGCTGGTCGGCTGACCCCGCAGTGGCCGCCTTGGCGCCTGAGGGCCTGAGGCCCGGCCACTGCCCGGCCTCCTCCGCCGTCCAGCTACACCTGGTCAGGCAGCTTTCGCTGGGCCCCGGGCCTTCTGGAGTCTTCTCAGCCCGCCCTGCCCTGTATCCAGGGTTTGGGGACGTTGCCAGCCAGGTTTCCTTTCTAAGTTCAAACCAAGTACAGATAAAGAACCAAGGCCAGAAGCGCAGCCGTGGAAAAGTTCCCATGTTGTCCTCACAGGCGAGGACGTGGGGCAAGAAAGAGAGGAGCCCAGGAAACCCGAGAGGCCGCTTCCCCCCAGCAGGCTGGCCTGCTGACCCTCGGCCCCTCGCCGAATGCCGGGACCGCTTTCCTTTCGCGCCCTGTCCTCGCGCCCACGGGCCTTTACTTACGTCAGCCCTTGGCGATACGTCTGTCCGGCCTTCAGCTGCCCGAAGTAATTTTTGAAACGAAGAAGTGGTCTTTGTAAGAAACCGCTCTCGGGCTCTGCTGGAGTTTCAAGGCGACGAAGCTCCTTGTCTGGCCGCGTGACGGTCCGGCTGGTGCCTGGACACGGAACTCCGGCGCCCGCCCTGCCGGCCCGGGCGCTCAGGCGCTCGCTGCGTGTCAACCCCAGGCCGTCACCTTGGGCGAGGAACTTAGTGTCTCTGCGCCTCTGCTTTCTCCCCGGCGACGTTAGGGGACCTTCCAGGCTGACACACACGCGCGTGTGAGTCTGGCCCGCTCCTCGGGTGGCTCCCGCCACGGTGACGTCCCTGCCCCCTGCGCCTGGCATCGCACCAACACCCCAGCCGTGCCGCCTGCTGCCGCTCCTGTTTGCATTAGATATTAGAGCAATTTACAGCCAGAATCTCCCCATGCAGCCGGGGCGCCTGGAGCCACAGTGGGTTATTAGCTCACCCAAGGTCAACACCGTGTGGGCCCAAGGTCGCCGCCTGTTCCTCTGAGCCCAGAGCCCGGTGCTCGACCCCTGGGACCCCTGGAGCCTGGAGCCCGTCCCCCGGGTGTCCCGCAGCCTGGTGCCTGCCCAGGCACCAGCAGCGGGGGCCCCTGCTGCTGTGCTTGGCAGCGAGGTGAAGCCTCTGCTTGAGTGGGCAGGGAAGTCCAGCTGGTGGCCATCACGTCACTTCCCTTTTTCCTGGATCTCTGATCTCGCTCCGTCCTCGGCGTGGACCTGCAGGCATCTTGCTGCTTCGAGGGGAGCTTTGGGAAGCCGGGGCGGGATGGGGCGGGGAACTCCTCTGTCCCGCATCCCGGGGTGCGCCGGTGCACAGGCAGGGACTGCCCCCAAGCCTGGGGCTGGGCCCCGGGTGTGTCAGGAACTGGGAGCGGCTCCCTGGAAACCAGCCCTGTAGAGGGGGCAGCCCAGCCCCCTGGGCTCTCTCTCGCTTGGGCCCTTTCTGGCGTGGCCTCGCTGTCCTGCACCCTGAGCCTCGTCCCTGGCCGGTGCGGGGGGAGCTCCCCGGAGGAGGTGGGGGGTGTGGAAGGGGCAGTGGCCGGGCCCAGTCAAGCAGAGTGGGGTTCCCTCGCTCCGCCTTTCTACACACTGAGTGCCCCAGCGCCAGGGGCCCCTAGCGGTCGAGCTGGTTCCTCAGCTGGTGTGCACAGGGCCTTCCTGCCCTCTGCACTCCCGGGGTTTGCCTTGGCGTCGTGGGTCCTGCTCTGTCCCTCTGCTGTGCTCCTCCATCCCCTCCGGGCCTGAGACCCAGGGTGGCATCTGGTCTGAGCAGAGCTGCGTCCTGCTGCAGAGGCTGCTGCTCCCCAGCGGGCCGGGGCGGTGTGTGGGGGGGGTGTTTCTTGTATCAGAACAGCTGCTGCCTGTTCTCTGCTGACTCAGGCGGTGCTGGACGACAGGCAGCGTGAGGCCCCCAGCCCGAGACGTGGGCGGCGGGTGACTCTCGCAGGCTCGCAGCGCCGTGGCGTGGGGGCCATGGCCCGCGGGGTGGGGGGTGCGGGTGGCCGATGCCCTGTGCCGAGCGCGGCCCGTGCTGACGGACGCCTTCTCTTGCAGCTGTCCCGTTCCCTCCCAGCCACCGGCTCACGGCGAAGGAAGTGTTCGATGGCGACGGGAAGCCACGCGTGGACGTGCTGAAGGCGCACCTCATGAAGGAGGGCCGGCTGGAGGAGAGCGTGGCGCTGAGGATTGTCACCGAGGGGGCCTCCATCCTGCGGCAGGAGAAGAACTTGCTAGACATCGACGCTCCGGTCACAGGTCAGTGCCAGTGCGCCGGAGCAGGGCCCAGGCCCACGCAGACGCCCCCCCACACACTCTGCCGCCACATCAAGGCTGGGCTGGAGGTGGGGCACGGGGACGGTTCGGGTGCGGGGCGCCCTGGGCATGCAAGGAGGTGGGCGGGGCAGGCGGTCCTGGTGAATCCAGGGCCCCCGTGGAGCCACACACTGGTGCAGACACACACCAGTGGGAAGGACAACCTCCGCTGCGCCCGCAGGGGGCCGGGCAGGGGCCGTGGTTCTGGAGCGTGTCTCGGACAGCAGTGTTCCTGGCAGCCTGTCAGAGCCGCTGCCGGCCCCCTCCCCTGCTGAGTCCCCCGCCCTGGGTGGGCCTGACAGTCTGCTCCAAGGGGCGCCCAAGAGGCGCTGACCCCGGGGAGGACAAGTGTGTCGCGTGCATGCTTTGCAGCCAGACGTGTCTTTTTGGCGGTTTTGTTCCGTCACTGTGTGCGGGCAGATCCGCTTTGGCGTCGGGGTAACGTCCTTAAACGCGACGGTCAGACCCCGCCGGACCTCACGTGGCCCAGAGGGCAGGTGCTCCAGGCTTCCCCCCCCGCCCCTCATGGGGGTGCAGGTGTTCACATTCAGAGAAGCTAGAAGTCACTCCTTTTCCTGGCTGCTGATGATTGTCCTGGCAGAAGGATCCAGTGTAGACACAGAACATTTTCATTCTCAAAACAGAGGGGACATTTAGCAACACTGTCCACGCACCGTCAGCCTCTCCTCTGTGGTCTCACTGCAGCCTGGCGGCCTCGCCTGTCGCTGCCGGGTGGACAGAGCCTGTCCTGAGCGTCAGGCCGGACCTCCTGGGCCCGAGTGCCCACGGGGACTTCTGCTACTGAGAGATCGACTTTGTCTTCGACTGAGATTTATCTTCCTTGTTCATAGATCAGAAAGGTGACGGCTGTGCCTGGGGCCAGGCAGCAGGCGATTGGGCCAGTGGTGGATGAATGTCCAGGTGCAAACGCACTTGTGGGCTCACGCGTGTCACCCCGGCTCACAGAGCCTGAGAACGCACAAGGATAAAACCAGGGTGAATGTGCTTTCCTTTATTACGTGTGAGAATAATGAAAAAAAAAAAAATAGTGTCTGAAGACTAGCTTGGCCCTCTCTGGTGAACCAGTGGGGTAACGGAGGTGAGAATTTCACAAAAGGCGGCGCGTAGGGCACACGGTAAAGATAGAGTGTTTCCGGCTGCAGTCAGCATTGCTCTGTGGATAAGCACGGTCCTGCAAGAACACACAAGGAAGATTCTGGAAGAAGCAGGTTACCCTGGACTCTCTGGGGCCCACGGACGCATCGCCCTGGTTTTCCTAGTGCTTTCTCAGCTGCTGCGACAGGGGATACCAACAGGAAGAGACTTTGGAAATCAGGTCTCAGTTACGTCGGACTTTCCGGGCCGGGGGTGGACAAAGCAAGGTGCTTGAGCGTGGGATGGCCGTGGGGTGCTGGTCAGCTGGGGCCCGAGCAGGAACGCTGCCTGGTCCAGGCGGCTCCCACCTCTGCCATGAGCAGGACCCCCTCCCCCTCTGAGGGCTCAGGTGCGGCCTTCTTGTGGCCTCGCTGACGGGGGAGAACAGTGGCCGAGGGGTGGGAGAGAAACACCGATTTTAACATAAGATAGATGGGGGACGTACTGCGGATTTCACCAGGAAGTTAAACCCGAGGCTTCGCAGCCAACACGGAGCAAAACCAGTCACGCCCTGAGCAAGAGCCGACACCGGACGGGGCAGTGAAAGCAGGCGCGGTGGCCGGAAGCAAGCAGGGTCTCTTTCCAAGGTAACAACTTGCCTGTAAGATTTCCTGGCCTGCCGAGCCAGCGCTGTAATACTTATTTTCAAATTTAGGGTATTTGTTGCTCGGATGACTGTATCAGTCAAGCTGTATTTTACTGCTGACTCTGCACTGTGCTGTAGGAGGCGGAGTTTCCACTTGAGACCCACCCAGGCGGCGTACTTTCTGTAGTTCAGGACTCCACACGGGAGAGAGCAGAGCACTTGAGAGGCGGGAGGAGGGAGGACAGGAGGGAGAGGGAAAGTGGTATTAGCACAAGAGAGAACTGCAGAGAGAGGTGAAGAGACAGGTTATTTATTTATGCATACAAGAGCTGGGGTGCAGGGCCTCCCCGGGGGTGCAGCGGGTTGAGTGCAGCACTGTGAAGCTGTCCGCAGCCTCTGCAGCATGAGTTCGATTCCTGGCCGACCAGGGAGATACCCCATGGCGCGGCAGACCTCTTCTGTCTCCCCGCTGCTCCCCTCAGCAGTGTTTTCAGTCCATCTGCCCGTTCTGCTCCCCACTCTGTCTGGGGTGAGTCCTCTCACCCCCCACACCTCTGGCCTGTACCCCAGTTCTTGTATGCATAAATAAATCTTAAAAAAAAGAACCGGGGTGCAGGCCAGAGGTGTGGGGGGGTGAGAGGATCCACCAGAGACAGAGTGGGGAACAGAACAGGCAGACCGACTGAAATCCACTGCTGAGGGGAGCAGCGGGGAGACAGGAGAGGTCTGCTGCGCCATGTGGGTCGCTCCCTGGCTGGGGATTGAACTCGTGCTGCAGTGGCTGGCAGTAGCTTCACAGCACTGAGACTTAACACCTGCAACACCAGGGAGCCCCGATGTTTAATTCTGTAGCACTTTTTTAATAGTTTGATTTACCACGCTGCCCAAACCCCTCTCTTTGGGGAAGGTTTGCACTTACGTAGGGTTTTGCAGCCCATTTTATTTGGAGAAGACAGGAGGATCTGGAGGCTGCTGGTCCCACGCCGCGTGCTGCCCTCGGCCCTGGGAGCGGCCACACGGGGCCTTTTCCTGTGAACTAACCTGTTGGGGGGGGGGCAGGGGCAGCTGTCCTAGAAACGTGACTGAAGAGTGTGCCTGTGCTGGGGCTGTTGTAAAGTATGTCCTTGCCTTTTGGAATCTTTTCTGAAAAGTGAATTGAATTTTCTTTGTTTCCTTGCAAACAAGGGAGGCACCCTGACCGCAGCAAGTCCAGACAGCACCTGGGGCTGTGTCTGCACTGTCACACCGCCCCCCACCCCCTGGTGCTCAGGGCTCAGCCCTGGGCCCGAGGGGAGCTGCTGGGGGCGGGGGCGGGAGGAGACTGGCACAGGAGGGTGCGGGTGGCCGCGTGGGAGTGCCAGGAAGGAGGGAGAGGAGGCGCGCGTGCTCCTCCTGGGAGGATGCGCAGGAAGATGGCCTCCCTGGTGGGGCCCGTCCCACCCCAGCGCCGAGTCCACCAGCACCTTGGTCTTGGGCTCGCAGAGCTGACTGAGAGATCAGAGTTTGTTGGGAGTTCAGCTTTTTAGCATTTCTGAGCATCTACCTGGTGGAGGCGGTGGGTCACGCACGGGTAAGACCTGCGTTCTGCTCTCCAGGGACCAGGATGTTGGGGGAGGACTGAACTGTTTGCCCAGAGACGAGTTACATGCATGGATGAAATGAGCGGGTGAGGCCAGGATTCAGTCAAACCCAGAGGCAGCCAGAGGGACAGCTTTCTTGCCTTCCAAGTGGCTGGGCTCTCCCCGGCGGTACCCACTGTTACCACCTAGCCTGGGCCCGCCCTCCTGCCTGTCGTGACTGTGGCCCCAGCCTTTGCTGGGAGCCTGGGAGCTGCGGGCGGGGCTGGGGCCTGTCCTGGGGTGGCAGAGCCGTCCCTGCACGCTGGGGACTCGGAGGAGGAGAGCAGGAGGCCGCGGGCCTGCAGAGAAGTGCGTGGTGCGGGGCGCCCCCGGGCAGGGAGCGAGGGGAGGGCCGTGTGGGCAGGCAGGCCTGGGGCCCGGCGAGGCGCGTCGAGGTGGGTGGTCAGGCCGAGACGTGGGTCCCGGTCAGCACTCCCAGCGGCCAGGGCCTCCCAGCAGGGCCTCCCTTACTCTGGTGTGGCTGGGGGCCCTGGGCTGAGAGCAGTGGAGAGAGGAGGCGGGAGCCCTTGACCAGAGGGAGCCGCACTGGCCCGGGAGCCACGCTGGCGTCCGCGGGCGGAAGACTGGATCCGATTTTTACTTCTGTGCTTGTTACAAACGATAGCCGACGCCGGCCGTAAAGCATGTGTAGCTTGCAGCTAAAATTCTCAGTCCACTGAAGACTTGACCAACACGCAGGCGTCACGCCGACCCGCGCGGTCTCTCCCGGGGGCGAGTGCTTTCCCTTGACTTAGCCGAGACGCGGCCCTCGGCTGTGAGGAAACGCAGACCCGCAGCGGCCTGCATGGGGAGGTGGCGCCCCGCGGGCCTGGGGAGAGGCCTGCGGGCGGGCGGGCTGCTAATCTCCCCGGCCGTCTGTTTCCTGCAGCGGGGACGTGCCCCGGGCGGGCAGGGTTCCCTCTGCGGCCGCCCTGCTGGGGAGCGAGCGGGCAGTTGCCAGGAGAGCCCTCTGGCTCCGTTCCTGGATGTGAGGGCGGACCGTGGCCAAGTTTAAGGTCATGGCATTCCTTCCCCTACAGCAGCTGACGTCAATTAGGAGAATTCCCCACGCCGGGCTCCCCGGGGAGCGCCGGAGAGGACTCTGGGCCTTTCGGGACCTGAACATCAGTGTTTGTCCGCTGCCGCCCTCATCTGTCACCGTCACAGCGCGTGGCCCGGGCTCGCTGGGGGTGTCGCTGGGGAGGCGTCGTGCCCACTGGGCTCAGCGGCCAAACCGTAGGGCCTGCCCTGCGGCCAGAGGCCTATTTTTGGAGCCCAGCCCAGGGCTGGTCAGGCACACATCTCTGGCCCTACCGTGGCGGCCACACACCATCCTGATGTCCTCACTGCCCTGAGCCTGAGCCTGGGGTTTGTGTGTCAGACTTGGTTTAGGCAGGTAGATGGGTCTGTAGGTAGGCAGGCAAGCAGGCAGGTACAGTGGCAGGCAGGTAGATAGGCAGGTAGGTAGACAGATAGGCAGGTAGGTAGGCAGACAGGTAGGTAGACAGATAGGCAGGTAGACAGGCAGGTAGGCAGGCAGGCAGGCAGGCAGGCAGGTAGGCAGGTAGGCAAGCAGGTAGATA